GGAGGAATGTAGGGAAGTAACAGCCTTTTTTGAGCTCTGTACCAGTTGTGCAAGACTGTATGTATGCTTTACCACCTTGTTAGTGAGCAGGTCTCGCTGCTGACTGTTGGCTGCACGCTGCAGAAGTACCAAGTGCCTCAGCACTTGTTGCCTTAGGTTCTGCATTGGTTCCTCCCCTGAGCATTACATGGACTTATGCACACAAGTCACTTCATGAATGGGGATGATCCCATTGTCACTGGCCTCACACTGAAAGTTTCAGAAACAGCTTGTGTTCTGCTGAATTGTATATTTGTAGTTTGTTTAGAACAGCTGGAGCATGCCGTTCATATTATAGCTATTTATCTTGGATGAAATACTGAAACTGTTCAGATGAGTGAACAGGTTATGAACCAGGAAGTCAATGCTACTGTTTGTCCTTGGACGAATATTTTACCTTTTATGATCCAGAGTATGATTGTATAGACCTTTCTCATTTAAGAATCTAAATTAATTGACTTTTTAAAAACTTGGATATCCTCCCAGGATAAGTTTAATTGGAATGCAAAGCACCAAGAATTGGCTTACTGATGTGTATTGTGCTGTGGGTATGTTTTGGTCTTTGCTAGGACATTTCAAATGAATAAGTCAAGTTGTGTAAAAAATGGGTTACAGTTTTTTATAGAAATTAATACCATTAAGAGCTTAAAAAGGAGAAATAATTTGAGACATCATTAAATCAACACTGTTTTTGAGTCTGATCATCTTAATAGTTTCCCAGTGTTGTTACAAAGGAAGCTTTGCTTTGTCTCTGCCCCTATGTCTTACACAATAATAAAATACAGAAAATGCTCCTGAAACAAGCAAGTGAAGTGCAGCCATGTAAGCCATCTCTGAGAATTTGCTTAATGATCAAAGCGGAGGGTCAGATTCAAGATGATGCTCTAGATTGGCTGGAGTTATTTTTCTTCTCCTTGAATTGCAATGATTGGTGAAATTCAAGCAGAAGTATGTTCATGAGCATTTGACAGCGGACAGTCATGAAACCTTGAGGACTAGTTGGCTTCTTGGTAGATTTTTGTTTTGCTTTTTTTTTTTTTAATGCTGTGTTCACTTGACAATCATATTTTTTGCCATGTGTTCTTAAGTTGTTTTGAAAATAAACTAATAATGTTGTCACCCTTTGACTTAAAAGCCATCTGTACTTTGCAGCTGTATGTACAGTCAGCTGAGTGAGAGTAATAGTGCTTTACATTTCTGTTACTGTCTGTGCCTGTGCATGTCAGAGCTGTTCTTTCACTTCTTCAGCTGGGTGGAAATCTGATGGTGGCTGTGGTCCCCATTTAAATGATGAAATTAAGTTTCAGTAAGACATTCTGTCATATTGTCATACCACTCTTCGGTTCAGAACATTAATTAACCCTGTGGTTAATCCCTCATGTGGATTATTGTCGATGCAGTCTTTGTAAAAGCTTTATAGGAATAAATCTTTAATGAAGCATCTTTGAGACATCAGAGAGACTTACAGTTCTTAAAAAGAACTGGTTTTCCAACTCTTCCATAGAAATAGCTGATGTAAAAAAATCATCCATTCAGCACATGAAGCTGTGTGTCTGTGGTGTAAAGGTTTGATTTCTGTGAAGCCAGTGTGACATGGGTAGAGATATTGTTCAGGATTTAGACATCACAGGAAGAAAATATAAGAGCTGTCCCCTCAGATTACTGATGCTTCATTTCTGTCCTGCCTTTTATAAATTGGGCTTGACTGTAATCCTTGAGTTACTCTGTGGTTTAACATGTGAAACTATTTTCAGAAAATTAAGGTGGAGAATGACCTATCTAAAGTTATTACTATGTCTATGATATTATAGGAAAAAACCCATAGTAGTCTGAAAACACATGCACACTGCATGTTCGGAGGCCAGGAATGCCTTGGGCAACAAATGATGCTGCATGCTTGCCTGCCACTGCATTTATTACACTGCTAAGGACAGCTCAGAATATTGTCAGTTACATTCTGACTTTCCAGCCACTTTCATCCTGTCTTGCTTTAATTAACAACTGATTCCATAGCTATGCTTTTGAAATATAATCAGTGCCTACCTTTGGACGTCAAGGCACTCTGAAATATTACTGCCAAAGAGGAAATTCTATAGAAAATATTTTTACCTCTCACTATGAAAGGGAGGTTCTGTGTGGTCCTTGGTCACTGTTTTCTCTGGATTGAGCTGGTGTTAGGATGGTAGTTCACAAGTTATCTTCAGAGGCCATAGGGGTTGTTGCCTTGATCTCTCTTGCTTATGTAGTAATAGACCACCTGAAACCCAACTTGTCAATGAAGTACAAATCTTAATGCACTTCAGTGCTGCTCAACTCACCATCTTAATGCATGTCAACATGGATTTAGAAGATCTGTCCTTATTTTCAGAAATAGGTTCCACAGCACTGAGGCTGCACTTTGAAACATGTTAGAAAAAGACTAAAGATGTACTTTTTCTTTTTTAATTAGACATTTTTCCCAATGCCTTTTAAAAAATTGTGATGAGAAAGTGGTAAGGATTTAACTTATTTTTCTCAAATGATTTGGCCTCTGTATGTGCACTGGAGGCTCAGCAGACTGCAACACAAGCAGTGTATATATATTTTTGAATGGTTTGTGTAATCTTAAATGGAGAAAGATGCTCAGCCTTAGTAGAAGAGTGGTGGTCCTTGTAGTGTGTTGACCCTGGCTTCATGCCTGACACCCACTAAAGCCTTTCTCTCACTTTCCTCCACAGCTAGACCTCTCACAGGGGAGAGAAAATGTAATGAAGGGTCCATTAATTGAGATAAGGACCAAGAGAAATCACTCACCAAACACCAGCATGGGAAAAGAGGGTGTAATTTGAGACATCAATTGAATTTATTATTAACAAAATCAGAGCAGGAAAATGAGAAGTAAAATAAGACCTTAAAAATGCCTTCTCCCCACCCATCCACTCTTCCCAACTCCACCTGCTCCTTCAATGGCACAGAGAGATGGGAAATGAGGGTTATGGTCAGCTGATGATTTCATCTCTGACTCTGGCTTGCCACCTTAGGCTCATCTCTGGAGAGCCTGTTTTTATCCCCTTTCAAACTTCAAACCTTGTTTAAAGTCCTCTAAATCAGCCTTGCCAACTCATGGGCTAGAATCCTTTTGCCCTTGTTAAGAGAGATGGAGTCCCTCTGACTCTAGAAGACCTGTCACTGTAAAAAGTTGCCCCATGATCAAAGTTACATTCATCTGCTCTGGTGTGGAGCTTGTCCATGGGCTACAGGTGGATCTCTGCATCCCTGTGGATCTCAGCAGGGGCACAGCTGCTTCACTATGGTTGGCACCACTGGCTGCAGAGGAATTTCAGCCC